CAGCACTACGCTTATTTGAACTTATACCTTGGGAAACAGTTGCAGGTTAAAGCAGCACCAAAATAGCTGACTATGTTCCTGAAAAAGAGAAAGTAACTACATTGAAAACCCAGATGGCTGTTTTCTGAAGGAATAAGGCAATCTATTCTGGCCCTGTTTTCTATCCTGGGTGTGAGTTCACATAAGAAGACTCAAGAAAGGAATTACTTTTTTGTAATGAATCTTAGTATTTGTCATTTGATCTATTTCTCAAGAAGCAGAGAATTTCCTGAGAAAGCAACTCAAATTAGTTTGTAAGCTAGTGAAGCATCAACACAGTCTCCTATTTGAGAATGCCAAAAGGTTTTCCAAATGTACTGATAGAGAAGGCAAACATGTACCTTAATAAAAGCAGACTGAAGGACATCAAAGGAACAAAAGTCACATCTCTGAAGTTTCACTACAATCCTCACACGACTAGTTTTACTATCCCTGCAAGGTAAACTATCAGTGAGCTGCAAGACCAGGGCTGCCCCATGAGGGGCTATGAACTAGGAGCAGAGGGTAACCTCATCACCATGTCCTCCCCATTAGGGCTCAATCCCAGGGTGCTTAAGCAGGACCAGGGTTGGTGATGTAGTCTCTCAATTTGCCAGTCAAGGCGATGAGTCAGGCCCAAGACCCAGCTAGGGGATCCAGTTAGGCATAGGCTTGGGGATAGGAAAATCTACAGCATGGGCCCATGGTCCAGCGAGGAAAAATAGCAAGTCAGGATGACAGGGAACAGGGCTGAGCACAAACCTACCTACAGCTCAGCTCAGGCAAGGCTTGGGTGGGGCACTGGACCCTTGGGCAGAGGGTGTGTTGGTGAGGTCACCAATACAGCTGGCCAGGGTAGCTAAAGCTCTCTGTTATGTGTAGCTCCCTGACAATGAGGAGTCTGTTGCCTTCTGCAGAACATCCTGTGTTCAGTATTACTAGTTTTAATAGCACTCATCTTTGTACTAGAGCAGGATGTCTCTTATGACTCCTATTCTTAGAGCAGCCACTCCTGTAGTACGTTCCTTCTGCTTTAACAGTAGTATTTAACCACAGCCCTGCACATAGCTATTTTTTTATATTAAAGGGTTTGAGGGTTTTTTGCAACAGGGAAGTACAGACACTCAAATGTATTTATTCATACTCAAATATAATTGTTAACAAAAATTAAAAGTCAATTAACTTCCAATTGCTCTTCATTGAAGAGCAAGAAAAATTTTTTTTCCATAGGAAAGAACAGTCTGAGCTCCCAGCAGAGATTTGGAAAACTCTGAGCAGAAATACAGCTGACTTGATCCCTGTACCCAATTATATGAACTGTTTTTCCATAAAGCATTAATTCAGAAACAGAAGTTGTCCCAGCTTCTCTTACAGCTAAGCTCTGCTGAGCTGACCACAATGCTGCCGACAGATCTTATCTCAAGTTAGGAGGAATGCTTACATGCTTTAATGACCTATTCTCTCTTTCTTTTTTCAAAACAAACTTGCTTAAATCTAAGGAGATGTCATTTGACATCTGATTCTGACAGATACATAGCATGCCTTTGCAATTGTGCTGCTTCTCACAAGTCAGCAGACCAGAAGACCTGTAGGGCTGATAAGTCAACAGCAAGTGCTAGAGATTTTCCTTGCAGTAGTTCTGCATTTACTGAACAATCATGCTCAGGCAAGGCCTTTTAATTTAAAGATAGTGTTATACAAGGCATCATGCTATGGAGCCAAGTGATTTTCATTTGAATAAATCATCAGCTCAGGTACTACAGAAAGAACTATTACCAAGCAGGGTAATGAAGGATTACAAACAAGATCTTGTAATAAGATATCACCATCTGAAGGAAAAAAAAACCTCCAGAAAACAAAAAAAACAACCCATGGCAAAATGCAAGAACAATGCAGGTACTATTAAAAAAAAAGATGGTAACTACAATACTTCCCTGCACCATCCCCACCATCCCAATAGGGAATGATTGCTAAAAATCTGAAACAAGTTTTACTAAGCAGCCCTGAGCATATGAAAATAGTTTCATAGAGAAGCAAATTGTGCTGATATTCAGTTATTTAACTGCTGTCCTGGCATACTGTGAGTCTCAGAACACAACAGGATTTCAATGGGGATCTTGAAGCAGGAATTTGATAGCAAATCAGTAAATGTTTCTTTGTATGCTAGACTAATGGTTTTCAGTTCTATTTGCTGTCTGGTTCCTTTCCACTCCCCCTACCCTTCTCTGCATATTTCATATTTCAAATTTCTCTTGAGCAGTATGTGCCAACAGCCACGGAAAAAGAACAAAAATTAAATGACAACACATTTGTTAACATTTTTACCTATATAACTACTACCAGCTGAGTCAGAGTACCACTCTGCAAGACAAACTTGGGATCTAGCTCTGGTGTTCTTACCTTTTTAATGATACCCAGCCCTTGTCAAACAGGCATAACAGAGGTACATTTGATTACTACTGACAGGAGGGAGGCTTGTATTTTACATGTCATTTACATGTTGAAACACCAGATTGCCATGTGTTTCCACCTGGTTTGTTAATATTGAAATTACGATGTCCTGTTCTTGCTGCAAAATCCTGTATTTCTGCACCTCTTTTATTCTATTGGCAGAAGCCGAGTTTTCAGCTCCTTAGTTCAGATATTCATGTCACATTTAGAAATTTCTCTTGAGACCTTTAAAACACAGCATAGGACTCTGCCTTTTACACAGGAATTTTAGTTTGCTCCCTCAGCAAGAGATATGTTATTTTAGAATCCAGTTCTTAGTAGGAATAGAAGGAGGGATGAAATCTCAGTATTTCAAGGTCTCTATAAAAGTCTCTCAAGTCCAAGAATGCCATATGACTCAAGAAAAGCCCTTCTTTTAAATTTAGCTTTTCTCCAGCACTTGCTGAGCAATGGCATACCCAGTTTTCCCATGCTTATATACAGCTAAATCCTAAGGGGTGCTGAGCTACCACAAGTTTCTATGTTCAACAGAAGCTGCAAAACTGAAGAGTTGCAAGGACTAGATCTATACACTTAATTTTTCTACTGACTTCAGTTATGAATGTGCTGTGCTTGCGTACAAGACTTGAAAGCTGGTAATTTATTCCAGCTGATATAGCAAGGTTTCAAGGGCAGTTTTGCCTCTGTGCCTTCCCATAAGCTCTCCAATGTCTGTCAGAGGAACTAAACAGAAAATAAAATTTTGCAAGTCCATCTATAAAAAATTAATTTGTAATTGGTGAGTTGCTAAGGTTCCTTTTTAAAAATGTCAACAGAGATTAATTAGAATTTTATTTATACAAGGTTTTGAGATAAAATGTACACTCCGTCAAAGAACAAAAACACGGCATTTTGAAAAGTGTTGCCTGAGTAAAAGCTGAAGGAGAATCATTGGACACTGTGATTGAAGGATTAAAGTTTTGCCTCATTTGACATTAGGACTGCTTGTGGACTAATGTATTATGAATCCCAAATGGAGGTGATACAGAAATGACAGTGATTTTGATTCTAGGCATTATGATTTTTAATCATAGAATCAAAGAATCAATTGGGTTGGAGAAGACCTCTGAGATCTTCAAGTGCAACCCCTGATCCAAAACCTCTGTGGTTACTAGACCATGGCACTAAGTGCCACATCCAGTCTCATCTTAAAAACCTCCAGGGACAGTGAATCCACCACTTCCCTGGGCAGTCCATTCCAATGTCTGACCACCCTCTCTGTAAAACAGTTCTTCCTAATATCCAACCCAAACCTCTCCTGGCAGAGCTTAAGACTGTGCCCTCTTGTCCTACTGCTGGTTGCCTGGGAGAAGAGTCCGATGCCCACCTGGCTACAGGTGCTGCTGAAGTCCAGATAGACCACATCCACAGCCTTCCCACTCCTCAAGTAACAATCATACTGGCTGATGAACTCATTTTGGAAAAAATCATAAAATGGTGAGAAGACATGTGCACCTTAACAACCTATTCAAGAAGTGGACACACTGACTTTCTCCTATTTTAGATAGAATAAACTAATAAGTTTATTCAGTACCTATCCAAATGCAAGCTTCACTGGATACTCCCTAGGTCTTATAATGGAAGGGACAGTGAACACCTTATTCATACCATCTAGTCTGATAGATTTCGCACTGTTGCACCCTCATCTCTTCCTTCTGTGTCTGCCACCAAACACAAACTGCACTCATACAAGTGCATGGACACAGAGGTGGCCTGATTCAGTTCCTCTTTTCTTGTTGATCAGTCTTGAATAGTGGAACATAGGCATGCTCTCACTCATGTATCTTAAAGACACATTCACATTTGCAGTCCTTTTCAGGTCATGTACAATAACTTTTCACATCCTTGTACACAAATTTAACCCTTGGTCAGATCCTACTCAGCAACCTGCAACCCTGAGGCTTTTGATCATTCTTGTTGCCCTTGGTGCCTTTTTGATGTGAAAGGGTGAGAACAGCCCACCATGTTCAAGTGACAAGAACACTTCGAACTTACTAATAAATTAATGTTCTTCTTATTATCAGTAAAGTAATATTGAGTAGGCATTTGTTATGCCAAAACATCAATGATTAAAAAAGTGTTTAAGAGCTGATATTGTAGCTGTGGTTTCGGAGTGCATTAAAAGCATGCTTCATTAATTTTTAGTGTGTGAATAAGAACCTCTTATCTGTATAGTATGGAAACTAAAAGTATAACTGAAACTGATGTGGGTCACTGAGGCAATTAAGCATGTGCTTGCTAAACCAGAGCCTTCTGACTAAATATCTTCCTGCATCTGTCCTCTATAATGTATGTGCATTTCCCATCACAGAGATTATTTCAGTATATTCAGCACTGGCCAGCAATTTTCACTGACCTACATAAGTAAAACAGAAAAATAACTCTTAATATGGAATTGTAGTATTCTTAATAAAATCTAGTAATTATTCTTAATGAGACTGTAAGACAGTCACTCTGAGACCTGTTTCCCAGGATTGTTTAACAATGTTTGGTGCTATGTTTCATCATATCGTTCCAAAAAGATGAGTAATGGAAACATTTCTGCCACAGCATGTCCTTATTTATTTATTATAAGTATTAAGCCAAGTCATAAAACAGTATCCAAGCTGAAAAACTGACATCCAATGACACATAGCATGCTTACCAAAACAAGTAAGCCTTGGTGTACAGAAATGTATTTTGTTCTGTCAGCATTCCAACCTGTTTTCTTCCCACTCAGTAGTTTTGTGGCTGTAATCTACAAAAGCTGAAATACTTTTATTTTTCTTATTAATGGAACACAAGAGCTTTGATTACATTTAGGAAAATGTCTATTTAACTCTGTCAAGGAACTGCTGAAAAGTTGCAATGGTTCAGTGGCTGAAAAACTGTGACTGTTGCAGTGTAGCCTAAAAGCAGAAGTTCATACAGCATTTCCCCTTTTATTTTGCTGTTTTGATGCTATCTAATTTAAATCTCCTAAAGAACAAGCTCTATAGCTCCACAGTGTTAATTTACAAACATCAAACCTCTGAACAAGCCACAGAATACCCAGATATTTTTCTAAATGTGGATAAAGTAAACCAACTTTCTATAATTTTTCAAATGCATTTTTCTTGAATGGGTTTATTTTTCTGTTATTCAATATTTGTGAGGTCCATCTAAGAATATAACTGACAGTATTCATACTTTTTTTTTTGTATGTATATTAGCAGCTAGTCCTGACATTGCATCTTTTGCCCCTTCAGCTCAGTAAGTACAAGCTTCTGCTTGACAAAAAAAGTTCAAATCTGTCTCTTTAAATAATTTACACACATAACAGTAAGATTTTAGTAAGATTTTAACAACAAAGACTTTGATGACATCCCAAGAGACCACAAAGATGTCACTTTATGGTCTCAGATTAGAAGACAGAACTCTTGGCATATACCTGTCCTCATATTTCTGAGCCTCATAACTGGAAAACATATTTTCTTTGGTGTGCAGGGCATAGACACGAATGACAGCAATTTACTCATAAATACAGTAATGAAAAGGCTCTACTTTATTGTGATGTATTCTTGTACTGAAATAGTTACCATTTAATCAATGATGATTTGGGATGAGCAATTGATTTTCATGTAATTTACCAAGACAGAAATTATTTCCAAGTTCTGTCCTGCAACTAGAAGGTATTTTTAAGCCGCAACATACAGATCATTAACAAATAGGTAAAAAAGGCAGAATTTGAAAACAATTTCTTTAACACTGGACTTCAACAGGAAACAGCTCAAAATATGATGCCTCTTCTGACAGTGACAGTTTCAACTGTACTTTCAACTGTATTTTAGGGATGTTTGGATGGCTCTGACTCAGTAACAGCTTGGTTGATTGTGACACAAGGCCCTTAAAAAAAAGCTGATTTTTTTTTCAGTGTAGTCACTGATCACAAAGGAGTGAAAGCTGAATTGATCACCCATTTCTTTCAGACACAGCCAGGTCAGTACAGACAGAAATAAGTTCCTAGGGGGAAGAGAGATGGGAACTTGAATTCCTGTTGCCCAGGACGCTGTATGGTTGTAACACACAAACTGATAAGAAACTAGGCTCTTGAAACAAGCGGGTAATTTCTGTAGCACTTAGTGGATCACTTACAGCACTCTGTGTTTTTTTCCAAGCAGCTTGGGAACAAAATTCCAAAGTTCAGATGGTACTCTGCTAGCAAAATACATAAAAAGAACCAGGTCAACCAGTATAAACACATAATCAAAACAAGCAGAGTTGCTACAGCTTTCTCTGCTTACCAAATAAAAGCCTGCAGAGGGCACTGCTAAACACTATCACTATCTTAACACACTGTCAGAGGTTATTTAATATGCATCTCAGTCCAAACAAGTGCCTATAACGAAGAGACACAGAAGACAACATAAGGTTAATATCCACTAATATTATATAAGAAAATTCCAGTGTTTTCTTCTTTGATTTTACTTTGTTCCCTATATCTGCTCAAGAAGATACTTGAAAATGTGTTTTGCATCTTGCCACCTGTAAGAAAGGACCCTGCTTCTTGGATATAGACTGTAGTCCCATGCTGCAGATGATGTTCAACAGCCTACCAGACCAGACTCCTGTCTCCGACATCTATGTTGTCCTTTACTGTTCATCTTCAGACTGAAAACATTCCGATTCAACGGAGGAGTTGACACTATATAACACAAGTGTTAAGGATAACATGTACAGTTATAGTATGTATAGCAATATAATTCAAGTGTGCTTTTGTTAGTTTCAGATTATATAGTAAAGCAGATGTTCACAAAATTCCAGAAACACCTAATAAAACAAATACTTTAAGTGCATAACATATGATAAGTCCAGGTGACCCCACCTACCAATGCTTCCATACACAAGAGCTCCTATCTCTTCAAGTCTTTTGTCCGCAACTCCCATATCCATCTAATATACTCTAATTGTACCATGTACCCTGTACTTTACATAGGTTGTGTTACCTGGTAAAAATGTGCAGTCATCACCCCAAAAACGCTTCATTAATTTTCTTCCACATAAGGCAGCTCACACGGTTGTTTGGTCAGTTTGTTCACTGTAAATAAAGAATGTTTTTCCAGCACTGGTTTATACTGAAAATTATGTTAGAAAATGCATACCAGAGTCAGTTAGCTCCTTCTACAATGCTTTTTTTCTGCTTGGAAAGCCACAAGAATAAACTTGTTTCCCAAAGCCAAGACATTAAAAATGATCGGTGATTCGGGATGTTTCAGTTCCTAGTATCAGATATCAAAGACCGTCAAGGAATGCAGTTCTCCAGACATATTCAGAAACCACAATGGCTTTTGGTAAAGTAATTGTGTGCACAAAACAAATACTTCAGTGGTAAGGTATTCATGAAACTACAAGCATATTCACCAGTCAGTGAAGCCCAAATAATAAAGTCTGAAAAAACAGACTGAATTTCTAAGGATATTTTCACTGATGTAGAGGATGTTTTAAAAAACCACCCTACCGAACTCATAGCAGCTATGAAAACCAAACTGAAGTCCTCCGGGCTGTATAATCCCAAGAACTCAGATCTCCTGCAAATGTTGTGCTAACTATGTTAAATCTGATAGATCATGGCTTTGGAACATATCTTTATTGACACTGACAACGATTAATCCACTAAATGTTACAGGTTGCTTTCAGAATTGTGAAATATTTTTTCCCTTTTAATTTGGCTTTATATATTATGTATGGCTGTTAATGCACGGAAAGAGCTCTGCTGTGATTTCCCTTTCTATTTTCTCAGAGATAAACAAACAAAACAAAGTATTTTGGGCCCAAATTTATTTGATTTCTAATCTACCTAAACCACAACTGCAACTTTATTGTAGTATCTGTATCCACACATACTTTCACTCTAAAATTCACTAGTAAATTTACTTGCAAATTTCAGGTTTGGGTTCTTGAACACCTGGGAAAAGCCACTTTTGAATAGTAGATACCTTTCAAAAATTTAGAATAAAAGGTGTCAGTTGTTTGGTTCATTCATTGAAAAAAAAAAACCAGAAACATTATTGCAAAACACTACTGAAAAACGTAGGAAACTGGGTTCTAACAGTACTGAATTATACTGCTGGTTAGTTATAGATATGGTTCTGTGAGAAACTAAAAGAGTACTGCGTGACTTGTGTGAAATGGACAATAGACTATAAAATGGATGGTGAGTATTTACATGTTATTAGAGAATTATCTGAAATCAGTAATTATTAATTGCATTGCCTTATAAGTTATCAAATGGTAAATAATGTTGCCAAATAAATTTGTGACCCCTTGTGAGTGAATGGTTCCCAGAAAAATCAGGTGGAATTTATCTTTAGCTTTTTACTGTATTTAAATGTAGCTGGGTATACAAAATAATTTTCAAAAATCAACAGAAATATAAACATTAGGATTAAGAACTGTACTGTACTTTATTCCAGAATTATTGTTTTTGTCCCAGTACTTCAGGTCATCTACTGTATCTAAGCACAAATTGCTGAGTTCGATTTTGCAGTACCAATAGAATAAACTGTTCTTCCCCTTCTTCCTAAACAGTCTCTTTCATAGGAGTACTCCTTCTACTCCTTCCATCTCACTTGGATGAATTCAGAAAATGTTTGAAAAAATCAGAGTGACTTTTCTCTTTATTAATTGCAGCTGACTAGTCTTGGCATTTAACCCATTGTTTTGTTTTTTTTTTTTTATTTTTATCTTTAAAAAACATAAGATTTTCCTATTGTGTTATAAGGAATCATTTCCCTTTTATTGGGTTCTTTTTTTAAAATTTCTAATATTATTTCGATACTGGTTTACATTTCATCTTTAAGGATGCTAACAAACATTATAATTCACCCTCTGAGATAACCTCTGTAGGTCGTCTGTGGGAAAATGAGTTGAGTATTTGCCTACCTTGTCCTGTTTATATGGAATCGTTCTCAGTGTAAAAGTCCACTTTGGTGGGTCAAAGGATGACTAAAATGATAAAATGTGCAGTTTAAATAACAGACTAATGCAATCTTCACACTTCATCAGCAAAAATCTGCAAGGTAAAGGACACATTTGTTCCATGACCAGTTTTAAGAAATGAAGATAACTTAATAAAGACATTTTAATGCACAAAACAGATGTGCTTATGAACTGCCGCACCCTTTCTGGGTTTATATGACACCATGCCTGCGTCTGTAAGCAGCATGGCAAAAACTTCATGACACTGACCATGGCCATGCCTCACTAACAGTCTTTCTGTCAGTTTTTTGTTTGTTTTTTTTTTTTTTTTTTTTTTTTTTACTTTGAGCTATGTTGCTGGTAGTGACAATAGTGGGGGGAGAGGTCATTGCTTTTTTTTAAATTTAACATGCAAGGACTGACCCTCCGTCATTGCTCATGGAACAGCTGCAGATATAACATAACGTGAGAAGTAGCTGCAGAATCTAAATGACAGCTTATGGCGATAGCTGCACATCAACACCAGGACTCTTAACACTGGCAACTACACAGAATAGCTACTCTCATCCAACATTTTCATTCTCAATCTACTTTTGCCACCAGCAGTGTCTCCTCCTTCCTTTCACTAGCCTGGTAACATCAGGACTTATGTATTTAGGTTTATGATATTTCAATGTCCCTGGACGTTCCCACAGCTCTGCATAAGCTCTTCCTTTCCAGGACACAGCTATCTCAAGAGCGCAGTTTCCAAAACAACGTGACTGTCACTGAATAGGCAGCTGCAAGCAGGTCTTATCTTCCACTAGGTGAACTTGATGACAACTGACAAGTGGACCTTTGTGCATAAAGGGCTTTCACAATTCTCTTGCGCTTTGTTATCATAGTCTTGCTGCTATATCCTGTAATTGTGCCTTGGTAGCCACTGCCAGATCTGTTCAAGAAATTCTCTGAGCTTGGTCCACTGTACGCATTTTATTTCTACACAACTTTTGTGTCTCAAGGTATTATGAGTTACATTCCCATACCACAACACTGAGAAATATGCTTTTGTAGTCAAGTACAAACAGCCTATTATTAGAAAAAGTTTATTATTACCACATTACCATTCTAGGCATGTATTTTTGATTTAGCCTACAAAAAATGTATCAAAAATATCACACAGTTTAGATTGCATTCGTATTATTGATGTGTGGGTTTCAATAGTCATACTTTTAATGACATGCTGCTACCATCATTATTTTTAATTTCAAATATGTGCCTCATGCCTTTCCATGGAGAAAAGAACAATATCAGCAATCCAAAACTTACAAGGGCTCCAGTCTCCACTTTTACAACAAAATTCTACAATCCAGTCGCTATTAAGAGCAGTACTTGTTTCCCTCATTAATGCTGCTCCCAGCACACAACTTGGCATTGATCTGCATGCACCAACAACACGACTTGAATGAACATATTAGGATGCAGCAGCATTAACTAAGGAAGCTACAAAGTATGAAAGGCATGCAGGTCCCTTACTAATTCTTTCATGGATTTTCTTTGACAAATTTTTCTGTACTTTCATGAAGTAAGATGAACTTGGCAAAATGCAATTAATCCAAAAGAACGATGATTCTGAAGTTGTAAATATTCTTCGAGATGTATTTTGTGCCATTTGTTTAATAATCTGAGGAATAGAGGGGGAATCAATAAAATGAAATGATGCCACCCTTCTAATATAATTTCCATTTCCTAATTTAGCAGGCTAGCTAGTTGTCAAAAAGTATTCAGGGAAAAGACTATAGCAAGGAGGATGTTTGTAGAAGAAGCATTAGTTGGCACATATCTGAGAGCGGGGAATTTGATGGTAGGACATTTTCAAGTTGCCCAGTTAAAAGCATAAGGTATGAAATATCTTGGTGTTTAGTTCCTTTACTATATTTTTTTCCAAGGTCTATTATGGTTTTGTCTGGATTCCAACAGATATGGATATGGATTCTAATAGATACAGATTCTCTTTTTGTGTTCAGATAAAAATATTTCAGCTGGGACACAGTATTCATATGGTAAGAACAATATATTACCAGAAAGCTGTTAGGACAAAGCAGGCCTTAGGAGTGGGGACAGGCCGTGTTCTTTGAAGGGCACTGGATAATTTGCATGCAGTGAGACCTCTCTATAGATAGCTCAGTCTGGAGGAACTCCTCTAACAGGCAGTGCCGGGGGACTTGTTCACAAAACTTTTCTGCTTATTTCTAGCAATAGCTATTTCTTTGTAACACAAGCACTGCCCTTGCAACACCGTAGAGATCTTACCTTTAGTTCTCTTCCATTTCTTTTTATTTGCCAAGAGAGATACCAACTAGCTTCATTCACTACCTCTAAAGCTGTAGCTTTAGTTTCTATTTCTACTTGTCATCCTTCACACCACATGCTCCTACTCTCTCCGTAACGTGCAAATAAAAGCATGTGGGCAATCATGGAAACAAGATTAAGTAACAGGCCTTGGATAAAAATAACCCAGTGCGGAACACTGATCCAAGTCATCACTTGGGAGAAACGCCTGTGCCTGCCCCTGGCAGACGCCTAACGGCAGGTACACACACTGCATGAGCAACCGCGCCCTGTGCTCAGCCTGCCCCCGACACAGCTCACCCCACACAGAATTCATCGTAGAGTCACGGAATGGCATGGGTTGGAAAGGACCTTACAGATCATCTCGTTTCAACCCCCCTGCCATGAGCAGAGACACCTTCCACCAGACTAGGCTGGTCAGAGCCCCATCCAGCCTGGTCTTGAACACTTCCAGGGATGCAGATCCACAGCTTCTCTGGGCAGCCTGTGCCTCACCACCCTCACAGCAGAGAACTTCCTCCTCTATAGCTACTCTGAACCTGTTCTCTCCTGGAATCTATTCCCCTTGTCCTGTCACCCCCCGCTCCGCCTCCCTCTCCCCTCCGCTTCCGTCTCCCCCGGATCCCTTCCCTCTACACCGACTCCCCTTTCGCCTCGCACCTCTTCCTTCCGCTCCTTTTCCCTCTCTCCCCGCTCCCCACTCCTTTTCCGTCTGCCCCCTCTCCCTTCTCTCCCGCTTCAGCCCACTTCCCCGTTCCCCCTGCCCCTCCTGCGCACGCACTCCCCGCGCCCCCGACGCCGGGCGCGCCTTTTCCGCCCGGAGCAGTGACGCGCACGCCTCTGGCGTCACTTCCGCGCGGCGCGGCCCCGCCCCGGCCCCGCCCGCCCCGCGCCACCGCCCGGGGCCTGGAACAGGGGAACGGGGGGGAGGAGCGGCAAGAGGAAGAGGAGGAGGAGGAGGAGGGGGAGCGGTAGGACATGGCGGCGGGGCTCTCGGCGACGACACCGACCCGGAGCGCGGGCGGGCGAGGCACCCGTGGGAGGGCGGAGCCGCCGCTGCCGCCGCCGCAGCGCCGCGGCGCCCGCTCGGAGCAGTGACCGACTGACCCGGCCCCCCCGCGCCGCCTCCCGCAGGCCCGCCCGGCCCTCGCGCCAACCCGCACTCACCCCCGCCCCGGCACCGGCGGCCCCAACGCCGGGCAGGCCTCGGCCCGCGTCTCCGGCCGTCCCGTCCTGTGCCCGTGATTATGCGCGATCGGCCGCCGAGCCTGCGCCTCTCCCTCGGCTGATGTCCCCGCTGCCCCCCGCCTAGGATAGAGCAGGCTGAGCGCCCGCGCCTCGGGCACAGGGAGATCCACAGTCATGTATTTCCTCAGCGGCTGGCCCAAGAGGCTGCTGTGTCCTCTGGAGACTCTGGAGCGACCGCTTCACATCCAGACGGATCCCCAGAGAGCTTTCTTCGCAGTTTTATCCCCATCTCAGCTGAGCATCTGGTACTGCAGAGTGAGTATCCATCGGCTTGTCAGCTCTCGGACCCTGCACCCCCAGCTGTTAATTTTTTTCTTGTTCTTCCAGAAACAGTTGGAAAATTTGAAATTAAGTTTATAGGATACTTCATTATTTGTGAATCAGAGCGATTAAGCCACGATGTTTACTGACAGCAATGTAGCGTTAAGAAAATATGCAACATCAATCTACTTGCAGTTAACACCTGTTATGCCTGAAAACTGAGACTTCCAACCAACTTTTTTTTTTATTTTAACACTAAATAGAGCTTATGCTTAACGTAAGGAGTGTTTGTAGCAAATTTTTTTGTTTTTGCCAATATGCTTCATGTCTTCTGCCTTTTCAGGTTCTGTGTTTTATATAAAAAACATATGAATGTAGGAGATATGGAATAGTTTCTATAAAGCACAGAACAAACTAACTACTCAGACTGTTATAACACAGAAGTTCACAAACTTTTATGGAAAACTTTATAACAGAAAACTTGTCATGGCTTTTGCATGGAGGTTGCTGCTGCAGCAACATCCAGTTTGAGACTGTGTGAATAATTGACATTACGTGCCTTACTCTTAGTTCTCATTGTATTAGTGTGAATCTTGCGTGTCAGTTTGATTTGATGCAGTCAATGAAACAACTGTGAAACTGACTTTAAATTTTGATGCTGAATCCTTTTAAATACTGCTTAGATTAGACCCTAAATCTGTCTATAAATATCTCCAGCTCCAGGTAATATAGAGTTCATCTCAGATTACCAGGGAAAACCAACAATCCAGCTTTGGAAAGCTGATACTGGAAGATGTCAAATAACAGTCATAGCCTTAAAAATCTCGTTTTAAGTTATGCTGAGATTTCATCACATTATGTTTTATTGTGCTCCATATGACTGTTCCTTAGTTCCTTGCTGGGGTGCTAATGCTGTTTTTGGAACCTAGACGGGTATCCAGCTAGGACATAATCAGCCTGGTAACTATGCTGTGGGAACATCACCATGTGGCCTGTGTTTCCTTAGGTTTGTGGCACACTTGTATATAAACTGTACACTCTTCCAGCTTTTGCCAGTTCTTGAACCTGTAGCTGTAGTTTGTCAGCAGAGCACAATTGTTCTTCTTTTCTGGGAAAATATGTAAAAAACCCAACGGGCATGTGGAATGCTTCTCAAGATGTGCGCTGTTGTCTAGAATGTAGTTTACTTTATGGTCTGTTCCCAAGGACGAGGTTCATTAACTCACATGCTTAGACTTGTTTTGAAATGTTAAACATTGTATAATTGGCTACAGACAGAGGACTAGAAGAATTCACTTGCTGCAGAAGAGTTGAGTAAACTCAGAGGCCATTTACATTTTTAAAATAGATTTTGATTCAGTTTGTAATGGGTGCTTTTGAGGAAGGTACTGACTTTGCCAGGCTTGACCACCGACTGATCTTAAACTAAAAAAGTGTCTCACCGCCTCTGTGGACAACTGGCTGTTAGCAAAAACCTGTAAGAATAAAGATTTTGGTCAAGGGCATTTTTAAAAAGAATTTCTTCCATTGTTTTTCTGTATATAGCTTGGGTTTTGAGTGTGCCTGTGGGGTTTGTTTGTTTGATTTGGGTTGAATTTTTTTGTAGGTTTTTTTTTTATTTTTGAATGTTGAACTTATATAAAATAAAATTACTGCATTCTAGAAAATGCTTTCATTTGTCAAAAGTATCTTCTTTGAAACAAGGATAAGTTCTAGTCAGGTTGAACTAACTCAATTTCTTGAAGTAGAAAAGCCTTCAGGCTAATGTTCTTGTTAAGACTTGTTACTATCTCAGCTGTATATGAGAGGTTTCATGTAAAATGAGGTGGTGAGACTGGGAAAGTTCTGTTTTGAGTTTTTCAAAAACGGGGCCCTTTGAAATGCTTTCAGGTGTGTGAGCTTACATTCAGTATGTATATTTTTTAAAGTGACATAGTACTGTTTAAAGCTCCATTTCATCTACTATGAACTAAGAACTGGTGGAACGAAGGAAAGTTTATCCCAAAGAATGGATTATTTTCTGTTTTGAAATCAGTCTAGGTATTAAGATTAGAAACTGGGGTAAGTAGTGTTGCTAAAAACCAGATGGAGTTCTGTTAGTGTTTTTGAACCAAAAAGTCCTATTTTACTTGTTGGGAGAGATTGGATTGTGTATAGAGAAGATCAGTGACCAGTGGTGAATGTTTTCAGTCATGCACCAGTATAGGGGAAAGATAATTGAGCACAGCCCCCCTAGTATGTTTACATTTATTTATGAATTAAATGCATGTGCTGCTGTACCAGTATGCACATTAGCAAATGTACACAACATAGTCTGGTCTATTCTACTTTATTTTCAGTTGGAAGGGACCTACAGTGATTACCTAGTCCAACTGCCCGACTAATTCTGGGCTGACCGAAAGTTAACTCATGTTATTAAGGACTGGTAGACACAGGGCATCAACCACCTCTCCTGGACACCTGTTATGGGTTTTAAAAGGGAGGAAAAAGGAAAAAAAAAAAGACTGAGTTAAAGCCAAAATATGCACATTTTAAAATTTTTACTTTATTTTAGATATTATTGGTGCTAAAAATCCTTTTTTGCTCCCCAATGGACTATGTTAAATGCACCGCTCTTTGGAGTCCTCTGTTTCAACTATTTTTCTTAAATCTGAAGTTTTAGGCCTAGGTACCTCAGAAAATTTCTTGACACTAAGAGCCAATGAAACTATTTTCATTGACAACATTGGAAAGCTTGTCAAACGTTTTCATTCCGGTAATGTTAGGTACTTGGATGCTTGAAATGAGAAATATCAATTAACGAAAGAAACTTTCTGAAATGCTAAAACGAGGTAATTGATGTGTAATAGATTGACTTGGCAACTAAAGATGAGGTTTCACAAGGCAGCTGTGCAGTCCTAACTGTCACAATCTTTCCTGCTCGCATGTCTGTTTTATTGGATTTTATGGTGGACTAGTGGTGTCTTTTTACAGGCCTGTTAAGCTTAATGAACAAATAGAAGCCTGCTTTTTTTTAGCTCATGAATGGATCAAAGGAGCGTAGTAGATGGCCCGTTGAAAGTGTCACTCCCTTAACAGTTGTGGCTTTAACTTTAAATTGGTTTGGTTATCTCTTGAATTCTAGATATTCACCCATAGGGCTCTAGGATATTAAGGGAAAATGTCTGCAGCTAAGGAAGAAGGTGTTATAGATGAGTGGAGTTTTCTGCCTAACCCTTGAAAAGTGAATTGTGTGCAACAAGAATAGTCCACTGGCGTAGTTGTATGTATAAATATAGTCCAGCATTTCCTTTCTTTAATCTTAACAAACTTGTGACAATGAGAGGAATAAGTACTAGCCTTGAATATTTAATGAAACTCCTGTAGGTTGTTGGATTATCTGCCATGACTCTGCCAGTCAAAACCAGTTTTGTAAGCTCTTTGAAGCCAAGAGTAGCTTGCCCCAACTACTTATTTGGAGGAGGTTTTCTTGATTACCTATGCTTCTCAGCTTATGATTTATGCTTACCCTTGTTTTTTAAAATTGTATTCGTTTTTTTTTTATGATGATCTGATATTGAGTCAGATCACCCTAATGAACTAAAATAGGTGTATGGGAAAGCATGCACGTCAGAATCCTGGATTGTCAAATGATTGATATTCATTCTGAATGCTGGATAGATCAATATTCAAACAGCTCTCGTAGGGCACTGTTATGTGCTTTTCAGTCTCTAGCTGTTGCTGTATTAGAGTTGAACTCGTTACATGCTTTAAATCCAAGCATGTATGTTAGTTAAATAAGTAGGAGAAAACAGGCAGCCGTGCTTCTGTTGTGGAAGTGATCTCTGTTACCTGGAATTTTGCCATGCTGTAAAAGTAGTTACTTGTGACACCAGTGCATATAGTTCATAAGACATATGAAT